TGGATAGTTATAGCCAGCTACGATTTAAGCAACCCTCATTTGTATAGATTGTCATTCGTGTTTGTCTTTTTTTTTTCAGGAACTACATTTGGAATTGTGCAACGTGGAGCAGTTTTTGACGATTGGTCACTTTGAAAAAGTCATATTGTGAAGTTGGCTGCACATGTTTTTTGCTGGCAAGTAAATAGTTCAATTTTTAAAATCTAGCATGGTCTGAGAGAAAAGCAAACTTGATGTGACTGACAGCACCCTTCTGAAAACTGTTTGGACAATATTGATCACATCTAACCAGGGTTTTTCCCACGGTGGGTGGCAGCGGTTTCGCTGCCCGCTAGTCCTGCTAGCCGCCCAGTTCTTTGAAAAATGTCTTGTGGCCTTCATGTCTTGGCACAGAAATCGCTGTGCTCGGCAGTCTTCTGTGCCAAGACATGCAGGTACAGGTCCCCACAACCCAAATTAATACGACTTGGTCGAGGTGCACGCAGAAAAAAGATGCGGCTGCTGCCTGTGTCCCCCTCCCCTCCACAGTCATAGTCTGATGTCTATTTGTCCACAATGTATGGAGAAAAATCTGTGTCTAACATTTATTCTATCCTAACTTGTACAGCTTCACTAGATCAAAGGCCACAGTTATTAAGAAGGCCTTCCACAAGATTGGCTTTTTCCTCATCTGTGCAGATCCGATATGGTTTCTAAATTAATTTTATGCAGTTGGCTTCACATATTTATTTCTTGTAGATATAAAATAACTGGTGTAATGAAAGTTTCATGGTACCTTCTTTTTTTAATGGGTTGCTTGTCTCGACTTGACCTATTTTCACTTTAAATTCGACAGCATTTGTGGGCGAACCTTTTTGTCACTTTTCACCAGTCGGTTGGTCTGTTTTATGGTTTGTGTGACCGATTTGACTCTAGCACAGGCAACGGCAGAGGCACATGATGACAGCTTGGTTTGTATGGGCGCTCACGCAGAGAGAAAGCTTTTTAAAATGGTGCATCTGACCCTATGCTTTTGTCAGCTCCAAATCCAACTTGTAAATTGGAGTATATGGCATGCAGGTACACCAAAATGCATCGTTTGCACACATCGGAACAGTCTCTTAGAGAAAATATGAAGAAGGGTCCGCCTTTCAACGGGCAACAAAAGAAATGCGCAGTCAGAATGCGCTGACGAGGTGGCCAGGCAAGCTCCTTGAGTGGTAGGCACTCAGGTGCACAAAGTGTGGAGCTTGCAAACAGACTTGCATGCCATATATAAATACTCTGTAAATTTTTACCACTCACTCAACTCAAAAGCGTGTGCACAGGTGTGCTCAAACGTGGGTAGGATGGAGCTCCCAAATTGTAAGATTGGGGACTGGGGCCTAAGCTACTGCTTGGTCCCCAGTTTTTGATAGCAGTTTTAGTACACATGCACTCTTTCACCCCCTCAGTTCTGTGAAAACCTTCAGGGATATCTAAAGAGAAAATCGAGTTTCTATGTTCACACACTCTAAGCACTCGAGGCTGACCACCTGATTCGACAACGAGAAAGAGTGCAACTAGCCCTTCGTTCTAATGGGAGATTTTGAGTGGCTGCCCAAACTTATGAAAGTCTGGGATATGAGCTTAGCCAGTTTTACATAGACTCTTCTGCAACATCTCATGAACCTTAGAAATAAAGCATTACTGAAACTGGATCGAGTTTTCCGGTTGGTTCATCGGTTCTCAAGAAATGCTTCACATTATAAACCAAATCACTATTGCAATTCCGGCCTTGAATTTTTTTTTTAAGTTTCGAATGAATTTAGGCTTGAAGTGTATCGGTTTTGACTAGGGATGCCGCGAACTTTTTTCGAATCGAAGTTTCGATGATCGAATCAAGCGGTTCGAAAGGTTCGAAAGATTTCGATTTTTCGAATTGTCTATATCGTGAAATTCAACAGAAGTCGAATTTTCGAACTTGTTAAGCTGAGAAGTTCGACGCTTTTCGAACCGTCGAACTTATTACGCCAAAAAATTCGATCTTTTTCGAACTTTCGACCTTATTGCTCTGCAAAGTTCGATGCTTGTCGAACTTCCGAACTTGACTGACCAAAAAATTCGATGAATTTCGAACTTTCGAACTTATTTATCAAGAGAAATCGAAAAGTTTCGAACTTTCGAATCCTGAAAAGTCAGAAG